ATTCTGTGTAGAAGATCCATATGATTTTCACATTTTATAAATGACCCTTTGAGATGTACGATTATAATCACTCGAACGATAACACTTGCAAGATATATCATTTACATATTTTTATAATGCCTGTAGATCCCAATAATCTTCTTAAGCAGGAAGCTAAATTCAGATTTTTCTTTTATAATAGTAGTAGTTTTTAACATGTCGCACAAATTAATTCGATGACGCACTTATAATTTTTAACATTTTTCTTTGATAATGGCGTAGACCTGGTGTCTTCTTTCCATAAACAGGTCGAGATGCTAAAAACCGAAAATATATTTGCTTAATCAAAAAAACGAATACATACGCAACATAGTTTAGTTAATAATATACAGCATCAACCTAATTAAGAGGCTGGAAAGCTGTGACAACCATAAAACACACAGGCTAGACCAGGGAGTTCGGCTTCGATTTCTTGTTCATCAAGACTCGAAAAGGCTTTTAGCAAAAGCAGAAGCAACTTGGGAATCTAGGATTTGGGTGAAGAATTGAAGTTGACAGGCGAAACAATCACGTTAAAGAATTATGTGGCTTTGCAAGGCTTGATCATCCGGTAATTATTGCAGAAGCTAGTCTTTTTTACTTAGCAGACAATGGCAAAACCTGGTCTTAACTAGAGTCGGTGCCAATAAGGAAACACCTCTTGTCCCTAGAACTATCGAAATCAGCCAGCAAAGGCCTGCCTATAACCGAGAGCATAATAAATAAGGCAAAGACATCCTGCGAATGGTCAAAATACTAACATAATTTCAAAGAATTATCTGCAAAACCTGAAAGGTAACAAGTACCTGCCAGTGTAACGAGTGCAGCTCCTCAGAAGTTCAAGAAAAGTAAAAAAGCCAAGAGGAGAGAATTTTGAAGAAGGCAACATCAGAACTGATGAAGTTTTCAATCAAACATAAGAGCAAGTAGGGATCCACAAAGTGGTAAACTATGATGAAGATCCCATTGCAGATCAATCAATTAACGAAGAAGCCTCAGGACAGAGTAGAGAAGCAGATAAGCAAGGACGCAGTAGAAACCCGAAGAAACCTCGACACAATAAAACTAAACACACGGAAAAACACACAGAAATGCATAGGTTTTTAGCAGAATTTCAGTTTAGGCCTTTCAAGAACTTGGGTAGGTATTTAAAAGTACTTTACCTAACGGCAGATACAACTATGGCTTCATATCCAAACGCTAAAAGAAGCATCCCAGCAATTCATAAGTAGAAAGCAAATCCAATCCACCCCAGCTAAAACATGTTCTTTTAGTGAAATTCACAGATACTAATTTCCCTTAAGCTTCTTCTCTTGATGTTCCTGATCCCATAACTTGCTATCTAGACAAGCAACACTCAGCTCCGGCTTCTGCGAACATCCTTCAGACCATTTCTGCATAAACAAATCCAAAAACGTTTCATCAGCCACATGGACTTTGTACTTAACACAACAACTAAGAAAAAGGCCTATGAAGAATCGGAATGCATGTGAAGATAATGCCACAATCCCTTGTTAACAAGTAACAGCTACTATCAATTCAGGTCTTATATTGATTGAGATAGCTACTTTGATGAGTAAAGAAAGGACTTGAGCAAAAGGGAGTTTACCCGTTAGCATATGGCACCTCCTCACGTCCTCTATAAGGTGGTGGTGGTGACCTGCTGAAATTGCGACGACGAGGAGAAGGACTGCGACGCCTTGGAGGAGGAGGAGATCTTGCACGAGGGCTGTAACTCCTGAAACCAAAGGACAAAAATTTACCTAATCAGCTCGCTGAGATAGAATGGCCAAATCGCCAATCAGTAAGAAGAGGGGACAATAACCTCCGTCCTCCATAGGTTGGGCTCTTTCTGTATCTTGGACTACGACTACGGCTGCGGCTGCGACGCCTCCCCGAGCCACCACGAGAGCGGCATTCACGTGCAAAGTGACCAGACTCACCACACTCATAGCACTTCAAATCAGA